CCATATTTTCTTTATCCATTCTTCAGTTGAGGGGCATCTAGGTTGTTTCCAGGTTCTGGCTATTACTAATAATGTTGTTATGAACATAGTTGAACAAATGTCCTTGTGGTATGAGTGTGCATCTTTTGGGTATATGCCCAAAAGTTGTATTGCTGGACCCTGTTAGAGACTGATTCTTAATTTTCTGAGAAACCGTTATACTGATTTCCAAAGTTGTTGTACAAGTTTGTACTCCTCCCAGCAATGGATGAGTGTTCCCCTTACTCTGTATCCTCTCCAACATAAGCTATCATTGATGTTTTTTATCTTAGCCATTCTGATAGGTGTAAGGTATCTCAGAGTTGTTATGATTTGCTTGTTTAGATACAAAGAGTTCTATTATAAGAAATTGTCTTAGGTGACTGGGAATTTCCACTACTAGGACATGCCAGTATGTGTTTTCAATTAAAGTCTGAAGAATTTCCACTACCTGCAGTCTAAACCAGCGCAGGCCAGTATGTGTTTTCAATTAAAGCCTGAAGCAATGCACAAGAGAGCTTATATGAATCCTGGTCCAAGATCCAGTTCCTTATCATGTGTTTCTCTTGAGTTCAAAGGTTGGAAAAGACTATTATCCCAACTTAAGCAGTGTAAAAGAAGTTTCCTTGAACTCTGCCTTTGTTCTGTTGGTATTTTGAATTGATTGAAGCATACTCTCTCAAGCAGTACAGTCTATATAATACTCAGCATTAGCATCAAATGTTAATTCTACTTAGAAATGGTGACTACCATGCCCAGAATAGCGATTCTCATAAAGTCAGTCTTTAAAGTATTCTTGTCAAAAGTACTTGACTCTTATGTGAGGATTGTCTCTGGACTCCATTCTAAGACCCCAAGTTTCATATCTGTTATATTCTTTTTTTTCAGTCTAAATTTCATTGAATACCTGTATCATATTTCTGGAAAAACAGCAGCAACAGCAACAAAGGTGGGGAATAGGAAATTTACTTGGAAACTTAAAAAAAAAATCAGATAAATAAGTATTCAGAAAATTTCTGGTCTTTTGCTCAATTTAAAATTGATCTTTTTGTGCTAACAGCAAAGTATGTTTTTTGGATATACCAAATACTAGACAGTAAATTTTGCTTCATTTTATTAAATGCATCCTTAAATTTGACTTATCAAAACTTGGTAACTACGGAATGATGCTATGGTATAGTTTTCACTTGTATCTAAGAATTATTTTGCTGATCTTGTTTCTGTATATTACTGAGAACACATTATAGCTTAAAAATTATATCTGTCCACATTTTAAGATTTTTCTTAAGATATTATTTTTATGGTATTCAAAGCTTTAATTCCAATTTTCCTATAGCTTCTAAGTAGTGTTGTTTTCTCCAGACTTCTAGAATAGAACTGTGTGTACTCAAAATTGACACATATTAAGTAGTTGCAAGGTAGCTGGGTGTGAGTTGGCAATGAGCCCTTTGTCTTCCAGCTCTTCTAGTTAGTGTGTAATTACAGAAGTACAGAACTAGAAAATGTAGACCGATTGTGGGGGTGAAGGAAGTGTTATAAAAAGGCCTCTCTAAAAAACTTCTGATTGTCAGAAATATAGATCCATGATGTGCAAGCTAGGTTTCCTTTGTAGTTCTTATAGAAGAAAAGTCTTTAGGGCCCATAAATTGGTGTTATCAGGAGGAACCACTAAATTGCTTTTTACAAAAGCACAGTGTCTCTTAAAAATATTTTTGTACTTATAGCTATACTTGAATTTATCAAGCCAGTGCATGATAAAGGAAACACTTTTTATCTTTCTTTATTTCTATTTACCCCATGGGTTGAGTTCCCTTGACTGAGTGCAGTAGAAACACAAGTTGGAATCCTTTCTTCTTCCCCTGTCTACTATGTGTAGTACATAGATAAGTCACCTCGACTTTCTGAGCACCTCTTTCATTACTTTGGAACCCTGTAACAAATAGTTTTATAAAAGCATTTGTCAAGTGATGAGAAAGAAAAATGAGAAGCTCTTACTGTCTATGAAAAAAATCTCAAAAGTTTGTGTGACACAGTAGAGCACTATCACCTGGCAGATATACAGTTGACATTCTACACTAGTTTTATAGTATTTCGCCTCCTCCAAAAAGTTCATTTTCTTTATAGTTTTGTTTATAGTAAATTAGATTTCCTCAAAAGTGGTTTTAATTATATTCAAACAAATGCAGTTTGCCTAGAATTTTGGTCTAATGTTAAGTATCCTCCTTTAATACAAAGTGAAGTTTATTTTAATTGTTTCATGGACTTCAAATAGGAAAATAGGAAAATCTGAGGGTCATTAGGGCTGGATGTGTTGCAGAACTGCAGACGTTCGCCAACAACCATGAGGACTGCTGTTGTACTGGTGGTATGATGTGGTGGCTATTTGTGGCTCAGTCAGACTTTGAGTTCAAGAGAACCTTAAGGCATTTGCCTAATTACCTGAGTTTAATCCCTGGAGTTCACACGTGTAGGTGGAGTTTTTTTCAGGACTGCAATCAGCTTTATTCCACTAGCTGATTCCCAAATAACCACACAGAGACTTAATATTAATTATAAATGCTCAGTAAATAGCCCAGGATTGTTACTAACTAGCTCTTACAATTTTAAATAACTCATATTTCTATCTGTGTTCTACCATGTGGCTTGGTACCTGCTCTCCTTCATCTGCATCTTGCTTCCAGCTCCTGAGACTCTGTACTTCTCCTTCCCAGTATCCTCCTAGCTTCACTTTCCTGCCCAGTCTCTTCTGTCCAGCTATAGGCCAATCAGCTCTTTATTAAAAACAACAGAAACACATCTTCACAGTGAACATAAGGATTGTTTCACAGCATGCATGGTGGCAAGTTGCTCCCTGATATCTAGTCAATTTGGAAGGTCAGAGGTGGTGTGTCTGGTTGTCTCAGTTCCAATCATTGTAATATGCTGGTAGACATAGTTTATTTGGAGAACATGTCTCCTAACTACCATATATTGAGCCATGCATAGAGAAGACAAAAAATGAGATTTTGAGAGCAGTTCTCCTAGTGACATAGAGACTTCTACCAGATGTCACCACCAAGAAGTTCCTTCCATCTTAGTCATGCCTTCCATCTTAGTCATGTTATAGGGGGACCTTGACCTTGATATTGGGGTCATATTACCCAGACTCAAATTATATCATTGACTTTAGCAATGAAGGTAGGAGTCTATAATGATACAATAACATCTTAATAACATCCCAAGAAATTCTGTATAGTGATCTAAATCATGGGAATGCGGAAGTGTTGGGTGATGGCCAGGGAGATGACTCACAGGCTAAAACAAGTCAGGATTGATGACCTGAGTTCAATTTCTGGGATCCACTTTGTAATAGGAGATAACTGACACCTGAAAGTAGTCCTCTGATGGACTATACAAACACTAACACAACAGAGATTTTATATATATATATATATATATATATATATATATATATATATATATACTGTAGAGGGGGGAGAAATAAATGTGAAATAAAGGTAAAAATGTTTTTGAAGGATTGTTGGTTATAAGTTATATATATATATAACTTATATATATTGAATTAATATATATAACTTTATATGTATATATATATAAATTGGTTATATATAAAGGCAATAATATGAAACAAAAGAAAAAGAAAGCCTATAGTTCCCACACATTTCATTGACTTGTTTCCTGCTGGTGGCAGAGCCAGGGCAGATTTTCATTACCCTTTGCCTCACAAGACACACTTCTGACAGAAGAGAGACATGTGAATATGTAGCTTATTTTCAGGGAAGAGGGAGGTTGCTATTCTTTTATAATATCTATTAATTAAGAAAAGTTTCATGTAAATGTTTGTGATTCTGGTTTATATTAATTTAGGAATATTGGGGATGGGCTTCTTGAATGTATATAATCTTTCATCCCTGTCTGTTTGTCCATACTTAGAATAAACCATGTTCCCCTCATTGCACCCTCAGACTACAGTTTCAAAGTCTTTTAAGAAAGTTACAAGACTGAAAAGTAAAGTTACCATGGGCTTTTCCATAGATAGCAATAGATTCATTTAATTCTAGTGAAGTGGTTTTCAACCTTCCTAATGCTTCAAACCTTTAATACAGTTTCTCATGTTGTAGATCCTGAACCATAAAATTATTTTTGTTGTTGCTTCATAACTGCAATTTTTCTGCTATTATGAATCATAATGCAATATCTTATATGCAGGATATTTGATATGTGACCCTCAGTCAGAGGGTTGTTGGACCCCTGAATTTGACCTAGAGGTTGAGAACCACTGTGTATAGCACAAGGGACTTAAAAGGGGGAAATCAATCAAGTCTCTTTTCCTGGTCATTGCTCATTTGGGAAATCTTTGTGTCTTACACTTTTTTTTTTCTCATCTGTGAAAAACAAAAAACAAAAATGATGGGACAATAAATTGTTAACTCATTTAGAGAAGGGCACATACTAGGGGTTGCTTCTCTGGTCGTGGTCACAGATTCCTGCTGACCAGGGTGCACGCTCTTGTCCTGTTCCCATTAGGGAAACAATGACTTACATTTGTGATGTGACCTGCCTGAAAGGGCTAAACTCTTCAACTACAGAACAAAATGAAGCCATTGGCCTAAACATGGAGTGAACTCTGACCCTGACTTCATTAGTGTGTTCATTAATGTGGGAAAGTGCCAGAAGCTTGCACTTGGAATTGTCCTGAATCACACCATGTGGCGAACAGTACCATGTCATTGCCATTAAGACCAAAATACTGTTTGTGAGAGAAAATATATGAAAATAATATACTTTTAATTCTGTATTGGTTTCTCAATGCTTTTGAGAATTGAGAAATTGTTCAATTAGCCACTCTAATAATGATAATTAAATAGTAATTGTAACAGCTGAATTCGTGTTACCCTCTCGGTACGGGTCGCGCGCCTCCATATCTTACGCAAGTTTGGGCAAAGGCCTGGAGATTGAACAAAAGACACAAGAGACCAGGGTCATCCGACAAGAGATCACCAAATGCCACTTTATTCAGCTTAATACAAAGCTAAAATACCTTGGCCCCAGTAAAGGAATTCCCTCCCAGCCAGAGGGGAACCTGGCACCGTAGGGAAACTGGCACCATAGGGATTACTCCCCAGGCAGGGGGTTGAGGGCGGAGAGCAGCAACAGCAGCGGAGAGAGAACTTGGCGCCGTGTAGGAATTCTCCCGGGCTGGTGGGAAGTTACCATACCAAAGATGAAGCAAAGCCCTACGGCTAAATCACCAGGTTATGGCAGAGAGAACACAGGAACAGCAGGAAGCTTTAGCTGGCAGACCAAACTGTCCTCAAAACGCACCCCAGGGAGTAAGAGGAGACCGGGGCCCTACAGGACCCCCTTTTATATAAATTATATGACTAGGCCTGTCTTAGGTGGCAATGGACGTCAGGCAGAACCCCTTACCCATCATGGGAAAGCATTCAGGTCAAAACACATTTCCTGTCTTAGGTTGGGGCAAACCCCCAAAAACCTTACCTGTCATTGGCTCACTAGTCACCCATCACCAAGTTCAGCCAGATTTATGCTGAAAAATACTCCGGGGCAATAGCTAAGAGGACTTGTCACGTGGCAACATTGACCTGAGCTTGCCTTTGGCTCTGGCACCATGAAATCATGAGGATGATGCTCCAGCACACATAAGCACTCCTAAAGGAGACTGTGCCTGCTCAATCCTTAAAAAATCTGCCCAAAATGGAGCCCTTAAAGTAAGGTCTCAGCACTGGTGGAAGGAACCCTGGTATAGCTAACTAGAATAATAAATAATAGCCAATTGGCAAATCTTGTACTCCAGGGTCCATGAAAAACAGTAAAAAGCCTTTCCTGACCTAACAGAGGTCAAAAACCACAACCAACAGCAAAATTAACCGCAGTATTCAATTGTAAATTTAGCTCAATTTGAATGGCCACAGCATTTGCAACCTGCCCTGAGAGGGTATCCATAGCGCTAGCAGAAGCAACTGACTGATTAAAGGAAAAATCCAGCAGCTTTAGCCGCTCTGGCAGCCACAGCAATAGCTGTCAATATCATGGGAAGAGTAGATGGGTAAAGGAAGAGTCCTTGGTACTGGGACCACCACAGCCAGCTGCAGACACCACAGTCAGCTCAACTCAGCAGGATCTCTTTGTCTGAAGTCTCCCTGCAGCAATGTGAGTTGGGGTTGCAGGTCTGGATCAGGCTCCTCTCTGTGGGCTGGATTACAGGTTCCTCCTGGAGCTTTTCTCATTCCGTTTCTTTGGCTGGGTGGTTGTCAGCTAAGCTGTCCTCAGGTCCATTGTCCTTCTTCTGAGTGCACCGAATTAGTCACTCTGGAAGCCATCTGGCTTGATTTTCATCCTGTGAGAAAACACAGACATGCCCTCCCCCCATATTAGAATGGGATCGGGTCCTTTCTGCCAAAAAACTCCAGTAGGACTATGCTGAGAAGGAAAAATGATCAACTCACGAAAGGAAGTTGGATCTGGCCATTGTTATCCGTGCGCTTTGCTGGTGTGCGCCTTTCTCGTCCCTTAGGTAGCGATGCGGGCGCGACCCTGCTTGGTGCTCGGGCCCTGGCAAGGAGCGTACCATTGTCCCCCAGAACCGGGGGAGAGCCGACTGCCCTGCCACCTGCTCCTCAGCAACCCTGCGGGGCTAAGGCGACACTGTACCTGGCAGCCTGAGCGCACAACTGGCCTTGACCCAGAGTCCCGAACCTCGAGCGCCGAGTCTGCCGGCGACCCCACACATCCGGGACATGGCCACAGCCGAGACCGAGGCCGGGTGACACCGGGAGCAAGAGGTTGATTACAGCGGACTAAGAGTTCAGGCAATGTAAATAAATAAAAAGAAAGTTGGATCTGGACTCCCCTGTAGAATGTCCACTTACTGCTCTAAGATCTTACAGTAACCTCCATATACCAGACTTTTTTTTAATAACAAAGATAGGAGTAATCCAGGGAGAAGTGGATGCCACTATGCATCCTATCTCTCACTATTCCAAGAACTCACTCCGTAGGCCAGGCTGGCCTTGAATTCACAGAGATCTGTAGGTCTCTGCCTCCAAAGAGCAAATCCTACCTGCGTGCGCCACCAAAACCGGCTTTTTCCCTGGGCTAATTAACTGCCCCTTTACCAGCAGGGCAGTTCCTTTAGAAGTGTCCTGACCTTTCACAATGAAAGCAAATCCTAGATCTAGCTCTGCCTTGACTCTCCCTAAAGGCAGAAACAATTACCTGACCCAGTACGTGAGTGCCATCACATAAAAATCATTTAAATTGTCATTTCTATGGGGGCAAATAGCCTCTTGACAAAATCTGTTAGCGTTTTTATAGGCTAATTGCTTTTATGACTGGCATAGCTGAGTCCACGCAGCTCCTTTTTCTCTTGTAGCCGCAACAGGTGCATAGGGCTGAGCGGCGTGGAGGGGGCACTGGCGCGGTCGTGGTTGCCCTGGCAGGGCGGCAGGACTGAAGGCACAAATAGCAGGCCGGCGGTGGGGACCAAGGGTAGCTGGGATAGCGGCGGCGGCAGCGGTGGTGGGTGGTTGCTGTCGCATAAAGAGCAAAGCGGGAGGGCGGCGGAGAGGGCGCTCGCCTGTGAGATGCTCTTTGTAAGCACATACGCACTTTCGCCGACGCGCGGGAAGAGGCCGCTCCCCAAAACTGCGACTTTTCACTATTGTAGGATCATAAGCAATCTGTGCTGCTGAGCCAGCATACTGTCCTTTATCGGTTAACATGTAAAGGTTATGCTGGGAGAAACACATGACGGCATTATTCCATGCGGTCTTTTTGCAATTTTCCTACATTTTACCTCTCCACAACAAATAATTTTCCCATGAGAGACAGGCTCTGCGAAGCTGCCGTCCTTTTTTTGCTAACTTCTTTTTTATCAGTGCCATCTCCTTTTCTAAAATTCCTTTTTCCTCTTCTATATCCCTTCTAACACTCTTAACTTCTTGCTCATCAAAACTCTTAATAGAACTCACATTTTCTGCTTTCTGAATCTTTCTGGCCCTCGCTCTTTCAGTGCATTTTGAAGATCAGCCTTTACTGTACAAGCCACCAACAGCCTGAAGAGCAGCAGGGAAGCCCAGTGCCCCGGAGAGGGCAGCCCAAGGCCCGGCTGGGTGCTGTGGAGGAAGGAGCACTCCCACGAGCTGCCGGCCACTCACTCGCCGCCTCAGAAACGCATTCCCGTCAGGTGCTAGCCTGCTCCCTTAAGTAATATAAAGACCCCTGCATGTAGAAGCCAGGGACTAAACTCTCTCAAAAAATTAGGCAATTAACTACCTTACACAAAAGAAAACTGTCTTAAGGAACTCTTGTGCTGTCTATACTTTAATACCGGTGCCTACTTTTTACTTGTTTATTTACTTACTTCTTGCTTCTCTAAAAGCATTATCAATTGGCCTGTTAACCGTCCTCTTAACACTGGAACAGAAATACTTGCACCCATAGCCAATCCACCCTCACCACTTACCGGCTGGCCAGCCTCCCGAGGGCGACCTCTCAGGGATCCTTACTTCCCAAAACTCGCAGATGGGTCCCGCAAACGATTCTCTGACTGTAGCTGCTATCCCTGCGGGGCCTCCAATTGTAACAGCCAAATTCGTGTTACCCTTTCGGTATGGGTCGCGCGACTTCGTACCTTACACAAGTTTGGGCAAAGGCCTGGAGATTGAACAAAAGACACAAGAGACTAGGGTCATTCGACAAGAGATCACCGAATGCCACTTTATTCAGCTTAATACAAAGCTAATACACCTTGACCCTGGTAAAGGAATTTCCTCCCAGCCAGAGGGGAAACTGGCACCGTAGGGGTACCTTCCCAGGCAGGGGGTTGGGAGCAGAGAGCAGCAACAGCAGCGGAGAGAGAACTTGGCTCCGTGTAGGAATTCTCCCAGGCAGGTGGGAAGTTACCATACCAAAGGTGAAGCAAAGCCCTACGGCTAAATCACCAGGCTATGGCAGAAAGAACACAGGAACAGCAGGAAGCTTTAGCTGGCAGACCAAACTGTCCTCGAGATGCACCCCAGGGAGTAAGGGGAGATTGGGGCCCTACAGTAATAATATCATCAAAAAGTGACTGCTAGACTTCTTTTTTGTAGATAATGTTTTTAATTAAGAATTTTTTCAAATACAGTCCTTTCTCATTTTACACAGCTATCCCCATTCCCACTTTCTCCCCTCCTCCCACCTCTTCCAACTTTCCCCATACTCCACCTCCTCATCCACTCCTCAGAAAGGGTAAGGCTGCCCATGGGGAGTCAACAAAGTCTGACAATTCACTTCCCATCAAGGCAAGACCAAAGTCCTCCTCCCTATATCTAGACTGAGCAAGGTTTCCCTTAAAAAACAATGTGCTCCTAGATGTCAGTTCAAGCACTAGGGCTAAATCCTGGTCCCACTGCTGGTGGCCCCACAGACTGTCCAAGCCTCACAGCTGTCCCCCACATTCAGTGGGCCTCATTTGATCCTATGCAGGTTTGTCTGCTGTCAGTCCAGAGTAAGTGAGATTCCACCAGCTCAGGTCAGCTGTCTCTGTAGGTGTCACCATCATGACCCTAGTCCTGACCACTTTGCTCATATTGTCATTCCTCCCTCTCTTTAGATCAGTTTTATATCACAAATTCTGTCTCTTACAATTCGTGTGTTTTAGTCTTAACTGCTCACCTCATGAAATATGACTCTATTTGGAGTTAGAGTGTTCAAAATGGAAGAATTAAAGATGTTGTTAAGGGGGACTCCAGCTAAACCTGTCTGTTGTCCTGGGAGGAAAAGATCAGATGCAGAGGGATGGCAATTTGAAGACCTGGGCAAGAGGCCATCTACCAATGAGGTTCCGGAAAGCTGATCATGCTGATCCTCTGATATTGAACTTTTAGATTCCAGAGCTGTGTTTTTAGACCACTCAGCTTCTGCTATTTTAATGGCAGCTTGGAGAAACCAAATGAAACCAGACACCATGCTGCACGCTTTTTGTTCATTGCCTCCATTGCTTTCACAATAGGTTTGAGTAAAGAGCTAACAAGTGGGAAGGGCTGTAGTCTGATACCAGCGTCCACAAGGCAACTGTTCTAAGGCCTTTCCTCTCGCCTGTCTTCTCTCTTGATAATAGTGGTAGCCCTATTCTTGTGAAAAAATGGTGCTGTGATTATTATTTTATTCTCATTGCACAGGTACAGAATATTGAGACTCTGGAGTATATTGTCTGATATTGTTCCCAACAATGGCAGAGCTAAACCCCCGGTCATGTGCGAGTGCCACCTAGCCAGTAGTCGGGACCTGTTTACATCTGTCCTTCCTTTACATTTTGTCTGGAAAAATGAAATAAATCTTGTTTGTTTTGTTTCTTTAGATCCTGGAATATTGCTTGAGTAGAATCAAAACTTCTTCCTGCTTCCTATAATAAAGCATTTTAAAATAAAAATATTTATTATTGTTTAAACTATGACAGAAAAAAATTATAAAAAAATCACAAGCAGATTAGCCAGTTCATATTGATCAAATTAGTAATTTGTAGTATCAACCAGTTAGTCACATTCTTGTAATACAAAAGCATAAACTGCTGTATGATGTGACATAGTGAATGGATGTCCATCAGCTATTTGGTTAACTTATTTACTACCTGGTTAGACTCTTTTTTTTATGTTTACTTAAATGCAAGAACATTGTCTTTTAACTTATTCAATAGAAGTTTTTATGAAAACTACTGAATAAAATAAGAATTGGAAATCAATCTGAAAGCAAATTTTAATTTAACCAATGATGCATGAAATGGAAAAAATATTCAAATAGCCTAAAAACAATTCTACTGGATTATTAGGTAGCCTACTCAAACAACACATTTATATAGCATATTCTTTACAGTATCACTTCATAAATCATTAAGTCATATTTATGTCTGTTATATTAGACAGTAACACAGATTTATAAAAGTTTCAAAAAGATGAAGAAAAATTTAAATATGGCAAAATTATTTTAGCTATCAAAATTTACTTTTCTGGTATAATTTGTTCTTTAGAACCTGCCAGAAAACTTAGAAGTTTGCAAATCTAAACTATATGCTTCAAAAAGAGACTTAATAGATTCTGTCTCCTTCCATTTCTGCACTCATCAAACAGGAATAGTAGGTCTGTCTTTGGTACTTTTTTATTGCTGTGATAAAGCACGATAATCAAGGCAACTTATAAAAGGAAACATTTAATTTGACTTATGGCAGTGGTTCTCAACCTGTGGGTCATGCCTCCTTTGGAGAGGTTGAATAACCCTTTCCAAGGGTTGTCTAAGACCATCTGCAAATCAGATATTTATATTATGATCTGTAACAGTAGCAAAATTACAGGTATGAAGCTATTATTGGAAATAATTTGGGGTTGGGGACACTACAACATCAGGAATTGTATTAAGGGGTTATAGCATTAGGAATGTTGAGATTTATGACCTCTGGTTTCAGAGGTTTAGAGTTTATCATGATGGAGGGAAGGGATAGAGATCACATCTTGACTGATGACCATAAGGCAGAAAGAATGAGAACTGAGAATCACAGGAATCTGTTGAAATCTACAAGGCCAAACTCCTAACCCTTCCCTAACAGTTCCACCAACCAGGCGTTAAGTATTCAAGTAGCTGAGTCAGTGGGGGCCAATCTCATTCCAATCACCACACAATCCTTGACCAGGGCACATTCAATTTTAACACATAAAACATAGTTGTTTACTTGCTGTTCTTAGCTTATATCTTGTTAGAAACAGTGGATTTCTAGGGAAGGTTTGGATTATACCTAAAGTAAGTA